ATCATCCGCAGTTGCTTGCTTGTTGATTTTTGTCTACGAATTTAGACGTGATCTTGGGCATTGGGAATATTTGGTTTTTCGATGTTTTCCCACCACTGGTTGTGTGTGACGTCCCCGTTTCGCTAAAATGCATTGAGAAACGTGCATTAATGACGAAGCATTTTTAGGGAAGGGGGCAGGGTGTTTCAGAAGTTGTGACCCGGTATAGAAAATTTCGTTACAAGGGGGAATTTAAAATATGATAAGTCTTTATTAATAGTCCGTAAATGTTTTTGGTAAATCGTAAGTTGCAATCTTGGGTGCTAAACTTATAAGACACCGGTAATTGGCCTCACCCTCATATTTGATAGAAATTTGAAGGTGTTTCGTACATCGTAAGTAAATTAATAAAAATCAAAAAATGGTCAGGCATACATGTCTCGATTCCGAAAATATGCGTATTATAAGGTATCAGGATCGGAACAATCGGCACACACCTACGCGACGAAATAAGGACTACGATTGGAAACTCGGAACATGGAACTGCAAATCGCTCGGCTTTCCGGGTTGCGAAATTCAACCACGCAACTTCGAAGTCTGGTAGCACTGCAGGAACTTTGCTGGACGGGACAAAAGGTATGGAAAAGCGGGCATCGAGCGGCTACTTTCTACCAGAGCTGTGGCACCACCAACGAGCTAGGAACCGCCTATGTAGTGCTGGGTAAGATGCGCCAACGCGTGATTGGTTGGCAGCCGATCAACGCGAGGATGTGCAAGTTGAGGATTAAGGGCCGTTTCTTCAACTACAGCATCATCAACGTGCGCTGCCCACATTAATGGAGATCCGATGACGCGAAAGAAGCGTTCTATGCGCAGCTGGAGCAGGTGTACGACGGCTGTTCGCAACGGGACGTCAAAATCGTCATCGGCGACATGAACGCTCAGGTAGGACGGGAGTCAATGTATAGACCGGCAATCGGGCCAAACAGCCTGCATGCTGTATCGAACGACAACGTCCAACGATGCGCGTGAACTTTGCAGCCTATCGGGGTATGGTAGTTTGAAGTACCTTTTCCCCCCGCAAGGATATCCACAAATCCACCTGGAGATCACCTGACCAACACACAGAAAACCAAATCGATCACGTTCTAATCGACGGGAAATTCTTCTCCGACATTATCAACGTCCGCACGTACTGCAGTGCGAACATAGATTCGGACCACTACCTAGTTGCAGTATGCATGCGCCCAAAACTCTCGACGGTGCATAACACACGTCGAAGTCGAACGCCGCGACACAACATTGAGCAACTACGGGACGCCGGAGTTGCCCAGGACTACGCGCAGCAGCTGGAAGTTGCACTACCCACGGAAGAGCAGCTTGGCGCAGCTTCTCTTGAAGATGGCTGGAGGGACATCCGTTCAGCCATAGGTAGTACTGCTGCAGCGGCACTAGGTACTGCAATCCCGAACCGAAGAAATTACTGGTTTGACGGCGAATGCAAACTGTTAGTAGAGGAGAAGAATGCAGCACGGGCGAGAATGCTGCAACACAGCACGAGATTGAATGTGGAGCGATACATACAAGCGCGGAACAGACAAAACTCGGTTTTCCGAAGGAAGAAGCGTCAGCAGGAAGACCGAGATCGCGAGGCGATGGAAAATCTGTACCGCGTAAACGACACACGGAGGTTCTACGAGAAGCTAAATAGTTCGCGCAAAGGCTACGTGCCGCAAGCCGATATGTGCAAGGACTTAGACGGTAACCTTCTCACGAACGAGTGTGAGGTGATTGAGAGATGGAAGCAGTACTATGACGAGCACCTCAACGGTGAAGCAGCAGAAAACGAAGATGGCACGGCAACAGACCTTGGAGCACGCGCAGAAGACGACAGGCTTCCGGCCCCTGATCTTCAAGAAGTTGAGGAGGAGATCGATCGGCTGAAGAACAGCAAAGCAACTGGTGTAGATCAACTAACAAGTGAGCTATTAAAATACGGTGGTGAAGCACTGGCTAGAGCGCTGCACTCGATAGTTGACAAGATTTGGAAGGAGGAGATATTACCGGAGGAGTGGATGGAAGGTGTCGTATGCCCAATCTACAAAAAGGGCGACAAGTTGGATTGCTGCAACTACCGCGCGATCACACTGCTGAGCGCCGCCTACAAGGTACTCTCCCAAATTATATGCCGCTGTCTGTCACCATATGCAAGAGAGTTCGTGGGGCAATACCAGGTGGGATTCATGGGTGCCCGCGCTACCACGGACCAAATTTTCGCGATTCGGCAGGTTCTGCAGAAATGCCGCGAATACAACGCGCCCACACATAATTTGTTCATCGATTTCAAATCCGCATACGACACAATCGATCGAGATTATGGCAGATTATGCACGAGTACGGACTTCCGGATAAACTGACGCGATTGGTCAAGGCGACGATGCATCGAGCGATGTGCGTTGTTCGAGTATCGGGGACACTCTCGAGTCCCTTTGAATCTCGAAGGGGGTTACGGCAGGGTGATGGACTTTCGTGTCTGCTGTTCAACATCGCGTTAGAAGGTGTGATCAGAAGAGCTGGGATAGACACGAGTGGCACGATATTCAGGAAGTCCATCCAGCTCCTTGGCTTCGCCGATGACATTGACATTATGGCACGGAACTTTGAGATGATGGCGGAAACGTACATCAGACTGAAGGCTGAAGCTAGACGGATTGGACTTGCCATCAACGCATCAAAGACAAAATACATGAAAGGAAGAGGTTCTAGGGAAGACAATGTTAGCCTCCCACCCCGAGTTCAGATTGACGGTGACGAAATCGAGGTGGTCGATGAGTTCGTGTATTTGGGCTCACTGGTGACCGCCGAAAATGATACCAGCAGAGAAATTTAAAGACGCATTATGGCAGGGAATCGTGCCTACTTTGGACTCCGGAGGACGCTCCGGTCGAATAAAATTCGCCGCCGCACGAAGTTGACTACAAGACGCTGATTAGACCGGTGGTCCTCTACGGCCACGAGACCTGGACTATGCTAGTGGAGGACCAACGCGCCCTTGGTGTTTTCGAACGGAAGGTGTTGCGTACCATCTACGATGGAGTGCAGATGGATGACGGAACGTGGAGGAAGCGAATGAACCACGAATTGCACCAGCTGCTGGGAGAACCATCCATCGTCCACATTGCAAAAATTGGGCGACTACGGTGGGCTGGGCACGTCGTAATAATGCCGCACGACGACCCAGTGAAAATGGTTCTAGAAAGCGACCCAACAGGAACAAGAAGAAGAGGCGCGCAGCGGGCAAGGTGGATCGACCAAGTAGAAGGTGACCTGCGGACCCTTCGCAGACTACGAGGCTGGCGAACTGTGGCCATGGATCGAGTAGAGTGGAGACGACTTCTTCGGACAGCAGAGGACAACAAGGCCTTAGCCTGATTGGTAAGGTAAGGTAAGTAAGGTATCAGGTTTTCCGTAAACCAGAACCAACAATTCCAACAACAGCCTCTACATGGTTTTTCCGACCGTATTTTTTTTTCGGATACTTGGACGCCGTTTGTACGCCGAAAAGGAAAGCATATCCGGTCAGCATTCTACCTCTTGAAACTCTAGCATCTAGAAATCCGAATAAAGGAATACGGGCAAAAAAACAACCAGGAATAATTCGGACACCCGACTGTACTTTGGACTCCAGTGTGTGTGTGTGTGTATGTGTGTGTGTACAATCTAACCCCCACTGTCCGGCAGTGTTATTATGGAAGAAAACTGCTTTTTATTACCCTTAAATTAAAGCAGGTTTAGTCCGGGAGTTAGAAGGTGTTAGCTCTATTGCAGCTCCAGTGACCCATTTCAGAATGCCTGGTAATTCACGACCACTCCGAGGTCACTTTTACTTACAATAAGCCCCGCATGTTCACTCTACCTTTATCAAATGGATAATGGTATCATAAACACACTTCCAGATTCAAAAATATTATTGCCAAATCTGGCACGTATATAGTTTTGAAATTTGTTCAACTGTATTAAATCGATTTGAATGGACATTTCTTACCAATTTTGTTTCGAATACCTCTTGATTCATCTGCTTGCAGCACTTACTGGCCCTTACCGGCGACCAACCCTCACTCAAATGCTTCAACTTCCCGGATGGCGGCCCGCTTGATTCACTCCATCTTGATGACCTTCTGTTTGCCTATCAGCCTCTTCCACTTTTCGTCCTTCAGATACAAATCCGGAATAAGATCTTTTTTTTTACACCATCAATTTTAGAGTTTTTTTAATCGTTCAAATTGATAAAAACCATAAAAACACACAGACTTTTTTTTTAGCAAAATCAAAACACGTCATTTCAATCGCGCGGCCTACTTCGATCTATCCCGACTGTACTTTGGACTCCAGTCGAATAAAATTCACCGCCGCACGAAGTTGGTCCCATACAGCCACGAGACCTGGACTATGCTTGTGCAAGACCAACGCGCCCCTTGGTGTTTTCGAACGGAAGCTGTTGTGCACCATCTATGATGCAGTGCAGATGGAAGACGGAACGGGGAGGAGGCGACTGAACCACGAGTCAAACTAGCTGCTGGGACAACCACCCATTCTGCACACTGCAAATATTGGGCGACAACGGTGGGCTGGACTCGTCGTAAGAATATCGGACGACGACCTGTTGATCATGGTTCTTGATAACGATGCAACCTAAGAGTTGTCAAACTGATAGTTTGAACGCCAGTTACCAACCTAGGTTCGCCACCTAGCAACTTAAAGAACGACTAGGTTCGAACCCGAATTTTTTTCGAGGTTCTTCAGTTTCACGCATACATTCAATGGTGAAATTATTATGGTGAAATGTCAAAAAGGTAAACAACAAAGAATCAGCCAGTCTGAAATATTGAAAAATATTTCAGCGAAACAGATAGGGAATCGACTGGACTTGTAGTTGGCCAGTTGGACCGAGAAAAATAGTTAGAGGCTTATGGTCTGAAGATTCCCGGAAAACCCCGTGTATGGTCAATTCTTGAAAGACAGTAATTTGTATAGAATATTGAGCATAGATAAAATATGCAATCCTCATACCGATTCTGCACTGGGTTGGCGGAAAAAGGATCCACAGATATCCAGAATCACCGGGAAAACTGTCCATTGCTGAAAGTCGTCCTAGAAATATACGATTTTTGTATTAATTGTATAGAATCTTGAGCATAGCTATAACATGCAATCCTCAGACCGATTCTGTTACTGGGTGGCCAGAAAATGGTTCTATGAATATCCCGAATCACCGCAAGTCTTACCAATTTCTAAATGTGGTACGAGACAAACGCGGTTTTGTTAAGCTGCATACAATGTTGAGCAAAGATGAAATATGCAATTTCAATAGTGATTCTGCTGCTTACTGTCCATATTCCTCAATCATATGTAATTATGCTGTTGAATTACGTCTTCTTCATGGTCATACATTAGATCGTAATTTGCGTGCGTTCAAATAAATTTTAGAAAATATAAAATGGCAGCGGTCACAATCAGCAGTGAACAAGGGAATTCCCAGCATATTTAAGCTGAAAACTGCTGTTGAGCAATCGCTTGGCAGCTAGCTGTCATTGCCTTTTTGACTTTTCTATTTCAAGTCACACATACACATGTACACTAAATTTCAGTTCACCCAGTTCACCGCGAGAGTGATATTTTGAAGAAACCAACCCACATTCGAACCTGGTTCATCAAACTAAAACGGCATAAGAGGCGCGCAGGGTGTAAGGCAACCTTCGGACCCTAGCAGCTATGGATCGAGTGGAAAGGAAACGACTACTTCGTACAGTACAGGGCACGCCGTCCATAGGCTGAATGTAGTAGTAGTGATGGAGTAATACGACATGCACCAGCAACGGCATTTCTGATTTTTGCTTGGCTACCAATCATTCTATGATACAAACATGGCCAAACATGGAAACATTTACGCTACCACGCTCTGCTACGTCACTGGTGCTCGTTAACAGCGAAGACGCAACAGTCGGCAGGTCGACCACCATACCATGTAGAATGGCTAGGTAGGTATTTACATTTTCAATCCCGCTCCCAAAAAAGCTCCGCTCGGCAACCGCACCTCGAAGAGGAAGATTTCGGATTCGACAGCATCCATCCTTCCTACGTCAAGGATGCTATTTCATGTCGCAACCGAGAACCAACGGGTTCATGGTGGAGCGGTGTGCAACCTCATCAAAGCAAGTTAATACTACACGGGTAGAACGCACACTTGGCTTAGCCTTCCCTGTATGTTTATCTCTCGCTGGGATCAGCTTGTTGGATGTAATGTAAGTGAAAAATTACCCTCCAAATCAGAAAAGCGCGCTGTAGAAAAGTGTACCACTTTTCAAACAATGTAATATGTAGTATTTTGCTGCTTTGAATCAGGTGGGTAAATCTGCTGAAGTGATACAACACATGGCGGTATCGTCTTCCTGTGCACATGATATGGTGAGGAAGGAATTTGTTTCGTTTGGTTATTAAATGTGTGTTGTTGTTGTTCGACAAAACGAGAGGTAAATAAATCATGTACACCTGCTGCGATGGTGACGGTGGGAGTTAGAAGAGGGAGCTTGAGGTTTACTTGCTTTCTCCCGTGCCAAGGACTTGCGGTGGATGAATGGTTGAGTGGATGGATGGATGATGATGGTTCAGAGGTAAATGCGTACTTATTCATGGGGGGGCTTCGTTGAGCACTCTCAATTAGAGCACGCTCTTGGTACAAGGGCTACCATTATTTGCATTAGTAAATCTCTCTTTAGTGGTTGATTTCACACTTTAAGGACCTTTCGACTGATCATCTGTTTAATTAAAATAGATTTGGATGAACATTTTAAATGAGATTTATATGTGTTAAACTTTCCAAATCCATTTTACGTGATCATAGCTGTATTGTTACCCAAGCTAATAATGAATCGTTTAATTCCTAAATCCCACCTAAATATTACCCCAATCGTCACAATCCCTTTCTTCAAACAGAGCCCTTTTCACTCCGCATTGTTTGTAGTGCCGGTTCTAAATTGCTTTGCTCATGATGATAGCGAAGCATATAGTGGAGATTCCGAGATAATTTGCAATATAGTTTAGCCGAGCACGATTCGGTTGAGCAAACAGATAGCATCACGCTTGATTCAAATGCTGATAGATGCAGACCGACAGGCAGATGCAATTCGCAGGTATGTCAGTATCAGTGTACCTGAATTGTGTAATGTCTGGCGGTATCAAAATCTCATTTTGGTGGTGGTTGTTTCAATCGTTTGATAATTAGGTTTGAGTTCGAACAAAATCAAAGGACCGAAACGAATGTGTTGTCCTTTGTGCTTGAAATGTAATCATTTGATAATATAACATGGAGCGTGGTTTTAATATGAACCATGGAATTAGAATAAATATTGCTTGAGCAGGTGCACAGGTCAGAGTTAAAATAGTGCTGGTGGTCAATAAATGATTAGTTGGAAACATGAGAGGATTTAAAAGCGAATTACCACATAAGAGTCACAGCTTTTATCTAATACAATCTGCATTAATCTATTTCAAATTTCGACAAAACTTTCAAGTTCCAAAAGTTCAAATAAAGTTCCGACAAAACTTTCTTCCCAAGCAACCGAAAGATCCGCATTCCACGATAAAAACCCACTTTCAAGTTCCATAATGTGCATATAAAGTTCAAACAGAACTTTCTGGCTGCTTTAGAAGCTATAGAAAGCACACGAGGAACATCAGTCTCCAAAAAGTTCCGATGCGTTCTCTTAGCAACTTGATGTTTAAAAAAGTAGAAGGGTCTGTGCCTAGGGGCACGAACGGAAGCTTGACGTAGGACCGCTAGTGGACGGAATAAATGTGAAGAGCATTTAGTTCTTTTAATTGCTCAATTATCTATTATCTCAACTCTTTCCGTTTTTTAATTGTACGCGTACCAAATTTGTAGTAATCTTTTTCAAAGAGAAAGTTGATTAAGAGAATCAATAAAAATCACTTGCACCCCTGCTTCCAAGTTTGGTTAAAAGATTACAACTCTGGAGAGCATTTTGTGTGGTCATTGGAAGCTTGTGGTTCTGAATATGTACCAAACAAGCACAGATAAATTCTATTCCAACTCTTTACTGATGTAAGCTTGATGGCCCTGAAAAGGGCCGTTTTATTGAAGAGAACATCCATGGCCACTTACGCTTGGCGTGTTTAGTGTAGGTGACAGCATCACGGACCTCATTTTCCAGGAACACCTTCAGCACACCTCGTAGATCAGACCGGAGATACGTTTGACACCACCACGGCGAGCCAGACGACCGATGGCGGTTATCTCGAAGAACTTTTCCTCCTTTGCCACGACCAGTCAATCGTTGCTTGTTAGGTGTGAAGGAGTGGACTAGCCACCACCTTCCTACTGCTGCTATTTCTGTTCACCACTGTCCGAAGCGAAAATGAGCTAATGCCTTTTTTTTACTTTAAATGATCTATATTTCTTGAATTTGTGTGGTTTACATGTATAACTTATCAAGTGACACAGATGCGTCTTTTCAACTTTAGTTCCTGTGAAATTTCAATTATTATTAATTACAGTTCCTAGTCCTATCAGGCCTGTTTTAGAGAATGACCACCTTGGTGGGATTGGTTTGTTTTAAAATTTGAAAAAGGAGACTACTTATAACTACTATTTACAACTACAACTAACCTACAACTACTATATACACCTAATCTACTATATACAAATTGCTTATCAAAGCATGTTCTGATAAATTACATTTTTGTGCAAATTTAGTCTTAATTTCGTTAATTCTGGAATCTATTTTGGCAATGCCTGCCTCTTCGTGTAAATTTGTTATTCTAGTATCAAAAGGACGATCAAGTACCATCCTCAGCACTCTATTCTGAGCTACCTGGATTTTGTTCCTGGGAGTCTGTACACATGATTCCCACACCGGAGCTGCGTAGAGGATCGCAGGTGCTATGATGTGTTTGTAGACGGCCAGTTTGTTCACCCTTGAGAGGCGGGATCTGCGGCAAATCAGCGGATACAGACACCTAACCAAAGCAGAACACTTAACTACAGTTTTCTCTACATGCGCACGGAAAAGGAGCTTTTCATCAAACAACATCCCGAGATAGGTTACTTCGGCAGACCATTCAACCCTTGTGCCATTCATGATTACAGTACAAGATGGAGCCGGTTTCAGTTTGGGCGATTGCCGATGGAGGAACATGATCGCTTGTGTTTTGGAGGCATTGATTTTGATTTTCCACGTGGTGGCATAATCAGCAAAGGCGTTAAGGCATCGTTGAAGTTTGTTCGTTATTTCGCGAGGCATCCTTCCTTTGACGGCTATTGCGGTATCATCTGCAAACAGGAAAAACACGCAACCGTCTCCGAGGGGAGGAATGTCGGAAGTGTAAATGCTGTAAAGCAAGGGGCCCAGCAGAGTGCCTTGCGGGACTCCTGCTGGGATGGAAAACGTGTCGGAAAGACAACCATTCAACGATACCTTAAACGACCTTTGCTGGAGGTAGTTACGGGTGATTTTAACCAGATGTAAAGGAAAGTTGAAGTTACAAAGCTTGTACACAAGTCCATCATGACAAACATTGTCAAACGCTTTCTCAACGTCTAACAAGGCCATGGCTGTGAACTTGGATACAGCTTTGTTACTTCGGATGTTATTCATCACGCGTACTAGCTGATGATTGGTGGAGTGCCCCTTTCTGAATCCAAACTGTTCCGGAAGGAGAATGTTGCTTTCCTCGACAAACTTGAGCAAACGATTGAAAATGAGTTTCTCGAACAATTTGCTCAGCGCTGAAAGGAGGCTGATTGGTCTGTAGCTTGAAGACAATGTTGGATCCTTACCGGGTTTGCGGATTGGTATGATTTTTGCTATTTTCCAGATGTATGTATGTATGTATGTATGTAAGGTAGCCACCATCCCTTCGAAGATCTTGTCTTGTATGCAGCTCCACTTAATAGCAAGATCAATTTGAGCTACCGATCTGAATTCACAATATCGCTGTATGAAGGGCCAAAAACGGTGGGGTGGACCCGTAAGCAGAGACACTTACGCGAAATCCATGGGAATTTAAGAATCTCCTTCCAACGATACGATCCAACAAATCGAATAACGCAATTCGCAATACTTATTAAGCTTCCTACAGGATGGTTTGTTAAGAAGGGTGCGTCAATCTCACTGAAACTGTTGGAGTAGAATTCACACCATCACAATCGAATCGGTAGGATAAAGAAAATGATAGTGTTTATTCCCTCCTAGACTCCGGTTGTCATACCACTCCAATCGTCCAGTTTCAGGTCAAATGATACCCTGATGCTCCCTCCCAACCCAGTATTTATTTATATATATAGTAAACATATGTAATGGAGAAATGAAATATATCAGAACATTAAAATACGTAATAATGAAAATACATTTATATGGATAAAA